ATATTTGGACAGGAAATGTAACAACAGGGGCATCGAATGACTTCATGCAAGTTTCGAGGGTCGCTCGACAGATGGTTGAGAGATTCGGATTCAGCAAAAAGATCGGACAAATCGCCATTGGTGGTGGGGGTGGAAACCCCTTCCTTGGTCAGCAGGTACTTTCCTTCTTTTCTTCTCTTTTTTACCAACCCTGTTTTCGGGTTGTGGGGGTCATTGCCCCCCCCATCATCACTGATAATGTATATTATGAATGATCGAACAACTGCACAGATGTCGAGCCAGAAAGACTACTCCATGGCAACAGCGGATGTGGTGGATGCAGAAGTGAGGGAGCTTGTAGAAACAGCATACGGTAGGGCCAAAGAACTCATCACTACACATATCGACATTCTACACAAGCTTGCTCAGTTGCTGCTCGAGAAAGAAACTGTCGATGGTGAAGAATTCATGAGCCTTTTCATCGATGGCAAAGCCGAACTATTCGTCTCCTAATTCTCTACTCAAATTCTAGCATACTAATTACCTGTAAAAACATCCATAAGAGATGATAAATTTTATTCAAAAAGTCGTCACCATATTATACTCGAAAGTTAATGTATATGTTTTTTCTCCTCTAATATATTGATTGTACAACAACAACAACACACTCCCAAACCAAATGTTACAAACTGTGCAGTTATGTTATTACAACAGAAAAAAATGACTTAAAAATAAATAATAATCATGATCCTTTTCCACCTCGTTGCTTCTTTTCTTCAAGCAACGCAGCCTCGTTCAACATGTCGGCTGCATCTTTGTGCATGTCGAGCTTTGCTAGAGCGACAGCCTGCATGTAAAACGCTGTCGACCAATCAGGGTAGATGCATTGAGCTTGCATTGCGTCTCGCAGTGCAGCGTCTGGCTGATCGCACATCAGATAACAAAGGCTTCTTCGTGCGTGAACAGTTGGCGATATCATTGTCCCCACATCTATGAACTGCACATTTAATAATACTAATAAATAAATATTTAAAAAAAAAACACTTTTAATAGAAACAAATCGCCACGATATATATTGTCTGATGTAAGCAATAGCAAGTTATCAACAATGTTAATTCTTTACACTCGAAAAGTTACGGATGGACATAAAATGATGCCTGAGATATAAGGAATCTGCCACTTATATTAATTTTTGATAGCATGATACATCTTAATATTTTATAACAAATTTACAATATACGGATACATAAGGTGGAAATGCTAAGTTAGTCAAGCCTTCTAACTTCAAGCAAGTTCATTTTGTTAAAAGCATGATATTTTTACATGTGCACCACAGATAAAATTACCTGAGAATAGCAATCAACAGCAGTTTTGAAATCTTTGTCACGGAAAGCCAAGTCACCCCTCTTCCTTGCGTCCAGCATATCCCTCATTTGTTGAGTCCATTCTTGGAAGGACAACTAATTTGGCACCAAATATTCAAACATCAGAATAGATGTAGATACAAGAAAAAAATGTACGAATAACATCTTTACATAGTATATTATTACCTCATTGGTTCCCTCGTCGTCTTTGTAATGCTGCATCACCAAAAACTGATGGATAGCTGTCAGATCCATACGCGAACAGGCATCACCCATTGGAGAGAGTGGATGTGGCGGCGTAGATGGTGCTTCTTCATGCTTCGGAATTCCCAACATCACATGAGATGGAACCTGCATGTGGCAATTTCATTAATATCTACATTCGGCAAGTGGTGCACCAAAAGATGAATATCTTGACCGACAATATATACTCAATTAAATGACAAAATCAGTGCCATCTCAGCATAAGCCATTAGTGTATGCGGTTATTTCCATCTTTTACACTGCCTCAAAGCTAACCAGAGAGAGAAATGTTTTCTTTTTTCTCTTTACTTATGAGTATGCAACAAAAAGCTCCTCAAAAAGCAAAGAAAGGGGAATAGAACTTGCATCGGGTTTGTTTTGCAAAGGGGCGAGTGTGGACACGAGATCTTTGGTCTTGGGCCGCTCCCTTGGTTCATACTGCAAACACTGTGAAGCAAGATCAAAAACTACAGTAGCCTCTTCAGTTGAGAAATTTCCCTCTAAGTGGGAATCCATTAAGAGCAGAATATTTTTGCCCCGTATCATGTCCAACGCCTGACATGTAAAATGGAAGTCATATACTGTCTGAATAGAATTCAAGATAACCACTGTACTGAAAAACATCATGGGCTCCATCGGATTGCACCACGAGGACGATATTTAGTGACAAAAATAACCTTATACACAAGGATAATTTGCCAAACAGGAACATAAGAGTGAACAGAATCACCTTACCATTACATATGCTCATTTGACGAAAACATAGTAATGCACTGATGCTACAAGAGATTAAGGACTTTATGATTGAGATTTTCAAGAGTTTGAAGAATAGAAGATGATTTCTCAATTACTTTTGACCCTTTCCTTTGCCAACTGTCACAAAATCCTACTTTTGTCAGGTTAGAAACTAAGTGAAGAGACAATTCTACCTCTATGAAATTCACGTGATTAGTACATGCTTCAATTTCCGGTGATTTTTCGCTACCGTGCAACAAAATAACTATTCGGGTAAGAGCATGCACATTTTTTATTTTTTTGTCGGGGGGTAAAGTGCAAATCGGCATATAGTTTGGGGGCTTTATACTCTTTCTTCTTTTTTTCTTTTTTCATCTTCTTCAACCACCATCCTCATATGTCTTAACAAGACTTATCGTGAAGTAACCAGTTTCGTCATCAAGTGAAACTCTCTCTCTCATGAAAATAATTTTCCAAAGTGCTACATGGATAAATAGGATTTTTGTACAAAAAGAGAGTGCCATTTGCAATCAGATTGCAGAATGAGGAGAGACAAAGAGAAGAAAACAACCAACGAGAAGAAAAGGAAATAGATAAAAAAGAATGATCATCCAGGCCAAGTATTTAGCATCCAACTTATTTACGAAGATCAGTAAATCCTCTTCGAAGAGTGTAAGCTCAGGACTTGCCTTAATGATGGGATTTTCATCCCTCAACTAACTTTTGATTAGATTGAATTATACACTTAATCCCTCTAACCAAGTCATTCAATCATGCAAAAATAATCATGTTTTAATGAAATCAGCTAAAAGAATTCGGCTGCAAAAATAATCATATTTTAATCACAACCTAAGAGTTCCCGTATGCTAGTGCTAACGTCAAGTGAACCACTACTTGCAAATTGCAATTAATGGCCTAATAAATTCCAATTGAGTATATGTATGGTAACTATAGCAAAACGAGAATTGATATAGAAGAGAATCCCAGTTATGAAACAAATTTAAATGACAAGTGACTAAAGGTGATAAACCAAGATGGAAATTACATACATGACTTGGAGGAATATGCTTTCCACTAAGAAGATCCAGAAGAACAGTTCCGAAGCTAAAAACAACGCTTTCCTGGGTTACCCTCCCTACAAGAAATTTCAGTCACATGTATGTTACAATTAAATCAAGTAAACTCACTAACAAACCTTGTGCTATTTCCCAATGCCATAGGCATGTATGACACGTGTATAAACAATTAAGTGTAATGGCGGCTAACATTATAAACAAAATTAGGTTAAATTCATTGGGAGCTACTTCTATTAAGGTTGAACCTGCGCAATAAATTATGTAAATTCTCAAATATCTTACTATAGAGGCTTTGCAATGTTCCGACTAACGGTAGGAATATGGTAATTATAAATGTAGCATTTATGAAGGACAGAAGAATAAGCCAAGCAGGGATGCTCAAAATCCCAGGTCAACGACATAAATATCAGCGGAAAAGTCAGACAGTGCTACCTAATATGGAGGCAATTTTTTCTTTCTTTTGTTTTTCTTTTCAGAAATACCAACTTGATGTCAATTGAAAGTTCACATACATAAATACTTGAAATCAATATTCCATGCAATTCGAGATCGTGGAGATCCGGGTCTAGTATGTATAGTGCAATTCAATCTGCTTTCAAACTCACTCCCTAACAGTAACAATCATAATTTTAGGGCATTTTCATCTCAGTAAAATTTAATCAGTCCCTCATAATGAATAATGTGGCCACGAGGTATGAATATAGTCCATCTTAAGAGAGGAAAACCAATTTAACGATAAGGCGGGTTAAAGTGAAAAAATGAACACAAAGCCCAAAAGAGTATCTTAAAATTTTTTAGGCTTTCTTCAACTAGGTCAATTCAATCTGATTTGTCGAAATGGGCCAAAACGATGTTATATACAAACTTCAAAGAATACTTGGGTACGAATCCGCAATTCATCTAAACAGTTGAAAAGCATTATATGATAACCTAATAAGGCATGTAAGGAAAGGTTACACAACATATAACACTTACCATTTCTTAGATACTCGGGTGGCGTATATGCAAGATTTGTGCTATAACTCTTTCCATCGCGGCTATTCTTCATCAATCCAAAACAGGAAAGTCGTGGATCACCGTTCTGTCAAAGTCAACATGTGTATCCACTCAAATACAAGTACGATGCAATATATAGCTAAGCCTATCTCGCTATGTAACGAAAGCAAAATCTTTGAGAAGATATAAACTAACCTCATCAAACAGAACCCTATACGCATTCAAGTCATGATAGAGTGGACGACCTTCCCTGGTGCAATATTCCAGTGCTTCAGCTATATACAAAGCAACTCTTAAACGCATGGCCCACTCGGGGGTCTGATTCTCCCCTGCAGAAAGTTGAGAACAAAGAATTAGATAATAATGAATAATATCGTAAATTTAACACGTAAAGGTTTGCATGTGAATGCATCGATTACTGTGAAGTGTGAAGTGCAAATGACATGAGTTGACACACATATTCGAACATGCATCAGTTTCCAAGGTCAAGCCCGCACCCTTATCCATCATTTATCTTGAAAATTATTACAATCCCAGGTCGGAAATCAATCACATCTAAAAGCTTACCCAATGAAAAGAAATCTCGAAAGAAGTTCCACAAACACCTCACAGTTTATGCACTCTCGATTTAGTGCTCCCGCTGTGAAAATTTCGTGACTCACAAGCTTATAATATATTTAAATAAGGATCATATCTTGTGCACTAACAATTAATGAAATGGTTAATGCCAAACAAAACACCCAAATGAATCACAAATTAGGGTAATTTGATATTTTAACAGCGCAACGATGAAAAAAAATCTCAAAATACAAAGGAAAGTGCGCAAACACCTCACAGTTTAGGCACACTCTCCACTCACTGATCCCGCTGTGGAAATTTTGCGACTGACAAGCTTTTAATCTAATTAAATAAGGATTATATCTTATGAACCAACAATTAATGATATGATTAATGTCAAACAAAACACAAATGAATCACAAATTTATGGCAATTTGATATTTTAACAACACAACATACAATGAAATAGATGCTTAGCAAGCGTCTCGTTAGGCATAAATTCAGCAACGAGCAGCCTCTCATCCCCGTCGCAGCAATACCCAATCAGATTAGCCAGCCTCTTATGCCGCAGCTTCCCCACTTCCTTGGCTTCCTCCTACAAAATAATTAACCAATTCTGTTAACCTAAATCCATTTTTTTTCCACCACAGAAAATAAAAGAATTAAATCTACAAAAAAATTATGTGTGTGTATATATCAAACATATATACATACAGCAAACTGTTTAGGATCGGGCCAGGCCATTTTGGTAAATTTCTTGACGGCGATTCCGCGGTGGTTCTGCAAGCGGCCTTCGTAGACGACATTTGGTGCTTTCTCGCCGCTCTCGGAGACGATGTTCTCGGAGCTGAAGTTGTTGGTGGCGGCCCTCAGCTCCGCCAGAGAGAACTCCGCGAATCCGCCGGACGAGGCTCCGTTGACGGAGGACGAGCGGCGGTGGCCGTGCTGCTGCTGCTGCTGCCACTGATCCTTCTCCGACGAGCGCCGCCGATGCTCCTTCGACACCCAGCAGCCCATGGTAACTCGGCCGAGTTGACTCAGAACACCTCTCTCCCACACACGGTGCACACACACACACACCGAATTTTCACAAATTTACTCCTCCACCGCTGATTGAATGAATACTATATACTACTGCTATATAAAATCTTAAAAAACTCCAAATCACAATCATATGTTTGATTATTGAACCATATTCCCCCAATATTTTACAGTATTTAATTGCAGTAATTTATTAAATCAGGTGTACAAAAAAATTAAAAATAATCTAATAGTAAATTAATAATACGTTCGTGCGGATTACAAAACTAAAAACTCAAAAAGCATCTTAGGAAAGAAGAGAAATTTTTTCGGTGAAAGAGAAACCTGGGACTTTGTGCTTTTCCATTACTGCTCACAGTATTCTTTTTATTTTTTATTTTTTATTTATTATTTATTTGTATTATCAGCATTTGTATTTTTTGCAAGTCAGCTTTCCATTTCTATTTTTCTTTTCTTTTCTTTTCATTTTCTAAATGAAAAAATGTAGTCATATTAGTATATTACAGTTGAAATCTATATATCGGCCATGGTATAAAATTTAGGGTAAATTCCACTTTACCCCCTCGTACTCTGCCTGAGAGTCACTTTACCCCCTCGTACTCTCAATTTTATTGATTTACCCCCTTGTACTTGTACAATTTCCCAATACAGCCATTTTCTTCAATTTTTGTCAATTTTGACTCTAACGCCATTTGGTCAACTCTGTAAATTACAAAATTGCCACTGCCTATAACGCGTCGTTTCTCCTCCGTCAATATTGTCATTTCTTCTTCTCCCACCACTTCTCCTTCCAAGATATCCCCAAATTGAACCCCTAACTTAGTAAAAATCAAGACCCAAAAATTGATCGATTCCACCAAGTGCAAAGAAAAAAATATATGAATGTGTGAAACTTTCTCTTTTCTAATCTCGAGAGTCAAAATCGAAAAAATTCAATATTTACGTCAATATTTTGACTCTTGACCAAATGGCGTCAGAGTCAAAATCGAAAAAAGTTGATGAAGAGGGTTGTATTGGGAAATTGTACAAGTACAAGGGGGTAAATCGACGAAATTAAGAGTACGAGGGGGTAAAGTGGTTCTTGGGCAGAGTACAAGGGGGTAAAGTGGAATTTACCCTAAAATTTATGAAGTAAAAATTTGTCAACCATTATTAATACACAAATTGAGAATTAGTAATGATTAACATCACAATTTCGCTTTAATCGGATTTTATTTGTAAGCAAAAGAAATTATTAAGAATGAATTAATGGATTTGGTCAACTACAAGTTATTAATTATTTGATGCTGATCTGTTTTAATGGAGCCTCCACTCTCTGGTTTTTTTAATTAAAAAAGAAAATGCACCTGTGGATCTAAGTGGCGTTGTGTTGGCTTGAACGAGCCAAACTTTGATGTTTTGACAGATTCGAGCTCGAGTCCATTTTGTCGAGTTCAAGTTCATCGAACATATATTTTTTTGCTTGAGTTGGAGTCCAAATTTAGTTTGATTTTTTTTTTTATTATCATTACAAAATTATTCATATAATAATAAAAAAAGTTTTAAATAAATAATGAAATGTGATTATATTTAAAAAAAATTATGATCTTTGTATGTTATTATTATTATATTTTATATTGCTATATACTATCTAAATAAAAGTAATATATAAAAAATAAAAAAATATATATATAAAAAGAAGGCTCACGAAGAACTATGAAAAGGATCGAGCTTGACTCGTGATAGAGCTTGAGCTCGAATTCGAGTTTATATTTTTTTCGAGCCGGTTCATTGGGCTCATGAGTGATGAGTCGTGTGAGTCTCACCTGGTTTACACCCTTAGTTAAAAAAAAGTTTACACCCTTAGTTAATTTAATAATATTGATATTAGTAGACCCAATGCCTTTTTTTCTTTTTCGAATATATATATTTATTTATTTTTAGTTTTAATTAAGGGTGAGTTGACGTCACAAGTGGTCAGAGCCGAAAGCAGCAGCACGTGAGGTCGTCCCGTCGTGCGTCTTATTAGGTACTCCATTTTTTTTTTCTTGTGATCTGTACTTACTGACAAAATTATTCAGAAAAAAAGGAAACTAGCGACAAAAATATCATCAAATGTATGTTATATATCTTTAAAAAAAAAAAAGAATTTGTAATTCTTAAAATATACAAAGTTTTAAGGATCAATGTAACAAAATTTTCAATTGCAAATAATATGTTAGGACAAAGACAATTGGAGTCGCTAATTTTGAGGAATGGTGGGGTTTAGTTTAGTCATGTAGTCATTGGTGTAATTGTAATTGTGGACTTGTGTGGTTTTATTTTTCACAATAATGTGAATATAATCTTCATTTTCCAATGGCAATCAATTTCTATTTTTAAATAATTATTAGATTGAAAAAAAATTGTATATGCCTCAAAATTCAAAAGTTCCATATTGAATGTGATAGGCTCACAAGCAAATAACCATAAAACGATCAATCTACACAGATCAATCACAAGCGCGTGCAGACCCTAATTATATGAAATGACGAAGGAATTGTGCATAAATGTATAAGACGAGGTTTAACGTGGTTCAGGCAATTATCGTATATCAACCGAGAGAGAGCAACTTCTTTAATGGTTCACAAGCATTACTCACACTCAGAGATTACAAGATTGATAAGAATCATAAGAAAATTTCACAGTATATAATTTTTTTACTCAAGTGACAATGTTTTTTCTCACTGTTCTTCTTCTCTCTATTTGAATCTCTCTTTTTGTGTCTCTCAATATCTAACAAAATGAATCGAGAGTTGAGTATCTCTCATGTTAAATAATCCCGTTGGTGTGTCCACGAGAGCTTACAAAACTGCCTCACACGGGCAAGATACATTTGCCCCATTCACAATGCTCCACCTCAGCATGAGTTAGTTAGAGAAATATTATATGGGCCGATCCATAAAAAAAGAACTGTAATTAAGACCCTATTTTGAACCAAGTTCAAAAGGCAAGCCCAACATTTATCTAAACCCAAATTGAATTACCGAGACACATTGGAAATGAAACCCAAAACATAAGAAGGCCCAAAAAGTCAATTAAAAATCATTATTATTATTCAATAAATTAGGAGCTGCAAAATTATTATTTCTGCTAACAAACTTCATTTAAGCTACTTGTACCAAAATCAATGATTCAACGAATAAATCAGCAATCCGTTTAAGGCCTTAAAAATGATTTTTTGTTCAAATTTAATGATATATAATTATTGGTAAAAAAAATAAAAATTATTGATTTTTAATCATTTTATCCCATGTGTTCATTTCATAGAACAACCTTGTAACCAGCCTAAAAAATCCTTAAAAAAACAATTCATCGATCGTTTTAGGGGATGGATAACACATACAGTACAGCTAATAATATTCCCATTCTTTGCTTCTACCCATTGTTCCCAGACATAAAATATCAGACAGACTTCACGAATAAGGAACATATTCCCTAATTATTCATATTAATAATTAACTCGTTAATTAATTACTCTGTGACAAGTTAAACAAGATTAGCACTAAGCATATTGCAGGTTGCGAAAGCAAAGAGTCCAAAATCCAGTTCATCATGAACCCTTTCGAGAAAGCATCATCGGAACATCATACGGTGGAACGATTACTTAATTATTACATTTTCGATAAAACCCATCTGTGTTAATTAATATTATATATATTGTTTAATAAGTAAAAATTACTTCAATTATATATATGTGAATCTAATCATATGCACGTTCACCTTAATCACTTTTTATTTTTATTTTTATTTTTTATTTAAAATTAGTCCAGTTCACATGTTCAGACCGTGTGCATATTTGCATGGCTGTATATTTTTTCAACATGGATGTGGGGAAGTAGTGTTTGGGCTAATTGTTCTGTTGAGGCCACTGCCATAATTTCAGCATTTAATAATTCCGACAGCTAATTTAATTTTGCAATAAATATAAATAAATCCTACTCGTGTACTAAATGAAAATAACTAGCTAGTGGTATATGCTCGAATTATTTTTATATTTATTAAAAAAAATATAATGCTAATTGCTCACCCTCATTTAATTTACTAATGTTGATAAATTGTACCCTTTAATGATTTGAGCTATTTGTGATATGATCGAATATAATATTATATATATATATATATATATATATATATATATATATATATATATATATATATATATATATATATATATATTTGCAGTTATTATACGAGTGTGTGTATGTTAATTTTAAGCGATCGAATAATTTTAATTGTTTAAAAGCACGGGATTTTCCAATCGTTAACTGTTTAACAAAAATAGAGATTTCATTCAAGATAAAATGAAATACATGGAAATTTTACACAATAAAATAAAAAGTGTAATTTGAATCACAAATATGCATAGCAAAATTCCTTTTTTTTCGCTCATATATATACTGCCGAATTTCCAAATATAGCAAAATATTGGGAGAAAAGTATAATTGAAAAAAAAAAATATACACTGAGCCAAAAAAAAAAGAAGAAAAAAAGGATTAAGAAAAATTGAGGTGGTTATTGTGTGAGTACGTTGAGTAAGGAAACCCTAGTGTTAATCAAACTCCGGAAAGCTCTTTCTCCACAGAATTCAATCCCCAAAATACAATCATCAATTTCATGCATTTTTTTCGACGCAATTTTCATCTCTTCGTCTGTTTTCTTCTTCAAATTCTCCAAATTTACCGCCTGAAATTCTCTAATGCCCGCTTCGAATTTCAGATTCTTCGATTTCTTCCCGAAACCCAGCCCCATGCACGACGGCTTTCTGAACGCCGGCGAATTCGAGATGCCGCCGAAGAGCAGAGCCGAGACCGACACCGTCACGTTGAGCACATCGTTAATGATATCGACGAGCTCCGCCTCGTCGTCGTACGGTGCTCCGGCGGCGGCAGCCAATTTCCCGACGGAGACGAAATTCGAGCAGAGTTTACCGATTTCCTTGGCGATTTTGCTCAGATTCTTCGAGTGCGCGGCTACTTTCAGATCGTCC